GCTGATTCTCTTGTTTTGCCCATGCTTGGATCTGGGTCACAGTTCTGGGTGGAGGTCCTGGGGTGAGGAAAAGCGCTGGCGTGGTGGAGCTTATAGTGGTAGTGGAGAGGGAATCCTCCTTACAGTTCCAAGGCAGAAAAGAGTATTTGTGGTCACTCATAGACCAGAGCACAGGCCAGGAAAGAAGTAAACACCTCACCCTTGATCATATCACCTTGGAAGACCTGAAAATTTACAGGTCCTTAAAAGTATCTCTGAAAACAGTTGCACAAAACTCCTAAAGCTTGGGACAGTATTTTCTCCACACTGGAAGCAGATCCTTACCTTAACAAAGAGTTTAAAACTCAAGTAATTGGCAGGGAACATGAGCAAACTGCACAAAAAAAGTCAGACCATAGAATCTTTCTTTGGTAACAAAGAAGATCAAAACATACAACCAGAAGACAATAAAGTCAAAGCTCCTACATCCAAAGCCTCCAAGAAAAATATGAATCAGTCCCAGGCCATGGAAGAGTTCAAAAAGGATTTTGAGAAGCAAGTAGGAAAAATAGATGAAAAACTGAGAAGGGAAATGAGAGTGATGCAAGAAAATCATGAAAAACTAAGTCAACAGCTTGCTAAAGGAGACCTAAAAAAATACTGAAGAAAATAACACCTTAAAAAATAGCCTAACCCAAATGGCTAAAGAGGTCCAAAAAGTCCATGAGGAGAAGAATGCCTTATAAAGTAGAATTGGCCAAATGGAAAAGGAAGTCCAAAAACTCACTGAAGAAAATACTTCCTTAAAAATTAGAATGGAGCAATTGGAAGCTAGTGACTTTATAAGAAATCAAGACACTGTAAAATAAAACCAAAAGGATGAAAAAAAGTAGAAGACAATGTGAAATATCTCATTGGAAAAACAACTGACCTGGAAAATAGATCCAGGAGGGAGAATTTAAAAATTATTGGACTATCTGAAAGCCATGATCAAAAAAAAGAGCCTCAACATCATCTTTCAAGAAATTATCAAAGAAAACTGCCCCGATATTCTAGAACCAGAGGGTGAAATAGACATGGAAAGAATCCACCAATCACCTCCTGAAAGAGATCCCCAAAGGAAAACTCCTAAGAACTTTGTAGCCAAATTCCAAAATTCCCAGGTCAAGGAGAAAATATTGTAAGTAGCCAGAAAGAAACAATTCAAGTATTGTGGAAACACAATCAGGATAACACAGGATTTAGCAGCTTCTGCATTAAGGGACCCCAGGGCTTGGAATATGATATTCCAGAGGGCAAAGGAGATAGGATTACAACCAAGAATCACCCACCCAGCAAAACTGAGTATAATCCTTCAGGGGAAAAAAATGGTCATTCAGTGAAATAGAGGACTTTCAAGTGTTCTTGATGAAAAGACCAGAGCAGAATAGAAAATTTGACTTTCAAATACAAGACTCAAGTGAAACATGAAGAGGTAAACAGGAAAGAGAAATCATAAGGGACTTGTTAAGGTTGGACTGTTTACATTCCTACATGGAAAGATGATATTTGTAACTCATGAGACCTTTGTCAGTATTAGGGAAGTTGGAGGGAAAAAATTATATGTATAGATAGATTGATAGATAGAGGGCACAGGGTGAGTTGAAGATGAATGGGTGATATCTGGAGAATAAAATTAGGGGATAAGAGAAGATTATACTGGGAGAAGGAGAAAAGGAGAGGTAGAATGGGGTAAATTATCTCACATAAAACAGACAAGAAAAGGCTTTTACAGTGGAGGGGAATGGGGGAAGGTGAGAGGGAATGAGTGAATCTTATTCTTATCAGATTTGGCTTAAGGAGGGAATAACATATACACTCAATTGGGTATGGAAAGCTATCTTACCCTACAGGAAAATAGGGGGGAAGGGAATAAGAGACCAGTGGGATGATAGAAGGGAGGACAGATCGAGGTAGGAAGTAATCAGAAGCTAACAATTCTGAGGAAGGACAGGGTCAAAAGAGAGAATAGAATAAATGGGGGGGGCGGGATAGGATGAAGGGAAATATAGTTTTCTACAGCATGACTACTATGGAAGTGTTTTGCATGACTAAACAAGTATAACCTGTATCAAGGTGATTGCCTTCTCAATGAGTGTGGGTGGGGAGGGAGGAAGGGAGAAAATTTGAAACCCAAAGTTTTAAAAACAAATGTTAAAAAATTGTTTTCCCATGCACCTGGGAAATAAGATCTACAGGCAATGGGGTATAGAAATCTATCCTGTCCTTACAGAAAAATAGAAGAGGAAGGGGATAAGAGAAGGGGGGTGGAGACAGAAGGGAGGGCAGATTAGGGGAAAGGGTATTCAGAATGCACACTGTCTTGGGGTTGGAGGAGGGACGAGATGGGGAGAAAATTTGGAACTCAAAATCTTGTGGAAGTGAATGTTGAAAACTAAGAATAAATAAATTAATGGACAAAAAAAAAGAAGATATCTGCTTGGATGATTTCAGAAAAATCTGGAATGATTTACATGAACTGATACAAAGTGAAGTGAGCAGATCCAGAACATTTTACACAATAACAGCAATATTGTACAATGAAGAACTGCAAAAGACTCACCTATTCTCAGCAATACAATGATACAAGACAATCCCAAAGGACTCATTGTGAAAAATACTATTAGCCCCCAGAAAAAAAACTAATTTTGTCTAAATACAGACTGAAGTATATTATTTTTCTCTTCCTTCCTTCCTTTCTTTCTTCTTTCCCTTCTTTCCTTCCTTTCTTGAATTTGGAACTTAAAACTAAAAAAACAAAAAGAATGTTAAAAATTGTTTTCACATGTAACTGGGAGAAAATAAAATATTATTTAAACTTCCCTATTTCTGTTGAGGATATCACCATCCTTCTACTTTCATAATTATTCTCAAATCTTCTCAGCCTTCCCCAATCTATATATTCCAATAAGTTGTTAAGTCTTGTCAATTTTACCCCCAGAATCTCTCTCTGGCTGGTCCCTTCTCACAACTCAGGTGGTACCACCCTAGTTCTTCATCACCTCTCAGCTGGACTGTTTCAGTAGCTCTTTCCATTCCATCATAACTGGTAAAGTGTTATTCCTAAAGCACAGGTCTGCTCATGTCTCTATAATATTCAGTAAACTCCAGTGGCTCCCTATATCTGTAGCATCAAATACTATCACCTCTCTTCGTCATGTAAAGCCACCTCTCTCCAACCTACCCTTAATATGTATTACTCCCCTTCATACTTTTTTTGGTTTGGCCAGACTGGCCTTGTGGCTATTCAGAAGTAAGCCATTTGTTGGGGCTTAGGAACCTTTGTTGAAATAGATTGGATATGTATGTCGCTCCTAAGCTCCTAGATTCATTTCATTAAATTTGGCAATACTTGTAGGAGGTTGACCTCTGTACAGAGTTAGCACTTATGTTTCTATTTTTACTACAATCTACTAAAACGTTTATTAGGCTTCTTATCCCTTGACCTGTCTGCCACCATCCTCTTATACGTTTTTTCACGTTTGAGATCGTCTAGGTGTTCGATTCTCTGTTGGTTTTTCTTTTTATTAGTTGTATCCCTCGTGCCTACCACAGTGCCTGGCACACAGTAGGTGTTTAATAAATATTCATTGGTTTGGTAGTCTGAAACTCATAATAGTTTGCTTCCTAGATCTAGGGATGGCTCCATAATATTCATTCATCATCACCAGGATATAGAACACTATGCCAGGTGCTGGGGGAGATATATGTCTAGAGCAAATAAGTCCCCGACTTCAAGGCACTTATAGTCTAGTAGCAGGAGAAAACAACCACACAGAAGTAATCCAAGTAGGCTAACGGCTAGACTGCATAGCAACAAGTGGTCTGAGAAAATACAGAATGGTGCAAAGTTTTGGCAGGCCTTGGATACTAGGAATGAGACTATACTTGGTAGAGAAGATTTATGAAGATGATGCTATAGTGAGTCAATTTGCTAGCAGGTGATCTCTTGAAAAAGATCCTATTCATTGTTATGAGTGAATACTCTTTTTTTTTACCACTGGCGCTCAATGTTCAGTCGATATCACAAGTATCTGCCTGGAAAGTGTCAATATGACAACATCCCTGCCTGTATTCCTGTTTTCCTATGACTGACTTCTCCTCAGCAACATCCAAAGGCAGAACGGTAATCCTTATTTCAGAAGGAGCTTCTTGGCCAATGAAATGTTGGCTTACAGATTGTTCCATGACCAAATTTTGTTTAACAAATGTAAAGATTTACCTTAAGAGAGAAGGTTGTTACCTGAAAGTAAGCCTTGCTCCAAGATTCAGGAACCCAGGGTTGGTGGGAAATGAGGGAAAAAAGTATGGAAAAATAGGTTTTAGGATCTCTTATTGATTTAATTTTTGTTCATGGCCTATAGCTATCTATGAACTTTGATCTTTGGGATTCCTTTATCTTCCTGAACATAAATAATTTTGAGTTGGTTGTATGTTTGCTTTCAGCAATTCACAGACTTTCATCTATAAATAAAATATTTGAACCCCGCTTCATAGATATAGAAACTGAGGCATTTGGGAGCTATTTAAGCAGCTAGTTGATGTCATGGATAGAGTATTGGACTTGGAGTCAGGGAGACCTAAACTCAAATCTTATCTTGGACACTGAGTGACCCTGAACAAATCATTTAGCCACTCTATCCATACCTCAGTTTTCTCACCTGAAAATGGGGATAATAATAGCATTTGTCACACAGGGTTGTTGTGAGAATCAAATGAGTTAACTATCTCTTACTATTATAATATTAGTGTATAATATAATACAATATAATTTGTTATAATATACTATTACTTTCATTATTTATAATAGGGTCACAATGGTGAGCCAGAGTCAATGATTTTTTTCTCCTGAGAGCCTCTCTAGGGCCGGAGTTTATGAACAATATTTTTCCCCTGTGGGAAGATTCAGATTAGAAATTTTGGAATGATGGGAGATCTGATCTTAAGCAATCAAAGAGTTTTTTCCTGTTTCTCCAATGCAGGTGGGTCCAAGACAACGTCTACTCTCCAAGATTGTGGAAGAGGTGCAGGAGATCATCCATAAGTTGACCAAAGAAATCAGCTACAGAGACATTAGATTCCAACCCATTTCTAAATCAGGCTATCACAATGAAAACATAAAGGTAAGAGATGGTGGCTCTTTTTAGATTTAATATCTACTTCAGATACTCCATAATTTAAATAATTTTGCTTGGCCCCAGAGAGGAGAACAAGCACAAAATTTCAGGGAAATAGACTTCAGCTCAACATAAGAAAAAAAAAAAAACATCCTGAGAATCAGAGCTATCTAATAAGAGAAGGTGCTGCCTTGGAGAGCTGCTTAGCCCCATGTCCCCAGAGGAGCTGCTGAAGATTCTAAATGATACCTTTAGGAGAATGTGGTAGAAACAATCACCATACTGCATTACAAAGGTGTCAAATTCCCAGACCACCATGTGACTGGCAAAACTCCTGAGCATAGCCATATGAGATTAAAATGTAATTGGGAAATATTTAATAAAATAAATAAAAATACAAAACAATGTAGATTATATCCATTTGAGGTTATCTCAATCAATATATGGCCTACAAGGATCTGTTTCTATTTGAGTTGTACACAACTGGACTAGAAGATCTTGGGGATTCCTTTCAAATCTAGTGGCTTTCTACCCTGCTCCCCAGGATCAAATATAAAGTCCTCTGTTTGGTGATCAAAGTCCTTCCTAACCTGATCTCCATCCCCCACCTTTCTAGTCTTCTTACACCTTATTCCAGTCATACACTCTTTGATCCAATGCCTCTGGCCTTCCTGCTATTCTCTGAACACAACACTCCAACTACAGATATTTCCTCTTGACTATTCCTTGTGCTTGAAATGCTCTCCCTATTGACCTCTGTCACCTAGCTTCCCTGGCTTCTGACAAGTCCCAGCTAAAATTCCATCTTTGACAGGAAGCCTTTTCCAATCCTTCTCAATTCCAGTGTTTTCTGTCTTTCTCATGATTATTTCTAGTCTATTTGGAGCTAGGTGGCTTGGTGGGTGGAGCACTGGGTTTGGAGTCAGGAAGACTTGAGTTCCACATAGGTAGGAACTTAATAAATGACTACTGATTAATTGATCTTGATTATTTTAGCAGTTTGACTTATAATGGGCCATGAAACCTGTCTTCCTTAACTTCTCTACCCTGGCTTTATTAAAGTCAAGTATTGAGTACCCACTATGTGCTTGTGGGAGATCTATTTGTAAGACACGGACCTTTCCTGACCTCCTGAGCTTATAGTCTAGTTGGAGAAGTAAGACATATGCATGTGAATGAAAACCAAATAGCAAAACAAAATGGTATCTGAATAAGCACCACCATATGTTGTGTGAATCCAGAGAAAAGAAAAATACTGGAAGTTAGGGCAGTCAGCAAAGACCCTATATGGAACATAGAACTTGACCTGGTCCTTAAAAGATAGGCAGGATTTGGACAATCAGAGAGGATAATCAGATAATAGTTTGACGATAATAATAAAATATAATAACATTATAATATAATATATAAACATAAATCTATTATAAATATAATATATAATTATTATATAACATATAATTATATTATATATAATGTAATAATAATAATTTACTGTTGCATGGGGATATGCAATTGCAAACCATTTTATTTGCATTCTCTCACTTAATCCACCAACCTGAAGCAGGTTCTATTGAGTATTATTATCCCAATTTATAGATCAGGAAACTGCAGACTAGAGAAAGGAAATGACTTAAGTCACACAAGTAGTAAGGTGCAGAACCACTGGATTTAACTAAAAACCCAACTTTCAGCCTCGAGAAATTTATGCAAACCAAGTAGAGTCAAGGAATAGGATGTATGTATTATTCTGTCACTGCAGTATAAGACAGTGGGTAAAATTTTATTAAGTCTTATTAAAATGGCCTTATTGTTCTAAGCCATCTACCTCACCTAGATGGAATACCAGAGGACCATAGATTTAGAACTGAAAGCATCCTGAGAAGTCATCTAATTCCCCTCATTTTACAGATGAGGAAATTGTCCCAGCAAGGAAAAAGGATTTACAAGTAAGTTGCAACAGTAGGATTTGAAACCAGCTCTTCTAATATCAAGTCCAGTGTTCTTTCTATACTATACACTGGAATATTTTATAAGAACAGAATTTAAAAAAAAAAAGCTAAAGGAAATCATAAGACTGAGAGTTGAAAAAAAAAAAGATGTTAGAGACCATTTAGTCCAAAACCCAGAAGAGAACCCTGTCCTCAAGGATCACATTTTTTGGAGGGTTAGGCCATGAACAAATGGATGGATGAAAAAGCATTTAGGAAGCACTCACTCTTGGCTGAGTACTGTGGATACAAGTTTAAAAAGCAAGCTAGGCACTCTCACGCTATTTGGAGGAAACAACTCATATTAGAAAGTGTAGCAGCAGAGTAGATGGAAAAACCCAGGAGTCCTAAGTAAGGGTGGAGTGTGCAAGCACCTTTATTCCTGATTCCATTTACTTCTATTTTCATTTCTGCCAGATAACTGTTGAGGGGAGTCTTGTTCTGCTCTGTTCTGTGTGGTTTTGCCAAGTGGAATTCAGTAGAGAGAGAGTCTCACCTCTGCAGAGCCCTTGCATGAGGGTAGGCTTGGGCCCTCATCAGGGATGGAGCTCTGCAGACTGAGAGGGTCTACTTCATCAAAACCTTGTGTGTGTGTGTGTGTGTGTGTGTGTGTGTGTGTGTGTGTGTGTGT